GCAGGTGTTCTCGCGGTTCAGCAACGGTTTGGAGGCTATCGAGTCAGATCTGAGCTCATTCCCATCGGTTCATTCCAGATCTGGGCGATTTTCCACCGGTTCACTCCAGATTTGAGAGGAGACCCATCACTATTTCTGTAGATACATTACCTGGAGCTCAAATACGATCCAGGTAATAAAATACTAACTAATATGCATAAACAAAATACTACTACTAATAATAATATATAATAACAATGTCAATAATAATAATATTACTAAATGTCACATTGAAAGATATTTTGTTTGGCATTAGTTCAAAAGTACACATAGTTGAAGACATGTTCGAACAGGCACCTGGAATCACAGAAAAAAGGGAAGATCTTTGTGTTATATTATTTTCTTACTTATATTATTTTATATACTCATATATAAGATTGCATGGATCTTATTATGGTATTTATATTGAAGGGAATCGGATTCTGTGGCAAAAAGGAAGGAGAGGCATGCTTGAGTAGGAGATCTTGGAGAGAGAAACAAGAGTTCTACACTTACCATAACTCTAGCTGTATTCATGGAAGGAAATCACAAGAAGGAGTCATATTCTTGGAGAAGACTCCACATCGAAGGATTTGTATAAATACTCTAGTTGCAGATCGAATAAAGGCTGCTGATGCTCTCTCACTCTGAGCAACATTCGAACTTCAAGATATCGTTGTTTTGCATTCTTTGTTTACAGTTCAGTTCAAGGGTTCTTACGTGTCTTAGAACTGAAGCTGTTTTGTTTTGTTTTTCTTTGTTTTTCTCAAACACTTTCATATTGTACACTTAGGGATTAAGTGTTGGTAAAAAGTCCACGAGACGTGGCCGAAAAATTAGTTGATAGGATCCTGTGTAGTTGTGGCTAGACTAAAAGGGAGTTCGAGTCCTGTAAGTCCAAACTATACAATGTCGAACGGTTTATCAATGAAAGAACTCTGAGGGGAAGTGGGAACGCTTCCCTGAAGAGTTTTTATATCTTCGGTTTATTGCTTTCGCTATTTATATTATTACTACACGTTCTTACTACGTTTCGTGCACTCGCGATAAAAGTATACGTTTCACAAATCATGCATACACCATTCGAGTGATACTATACTACCAATCGATAAATACCACAAACTTATCATTCTAATTATATATTTGTATTTATCATTCCTATTAAATTCCAAACAGAAACAAAACGGGTGCATAAATATTGTCGCTCAATACTATTGTAGTCAACAGAAAATTAAAAATTATTGTTGGCACCATTAATAACTTCCATATGTGGGCCTTCTCAGTTGAGCGAAGGGACTGATGAAATTATATTATACACATAAGAAAATAAGTATTTTATGATGATTTTAATTTGATTCTCTTCATTGAGTTGATTTTACTAATGAATAATATCGTAGAACATTCTATTTAGTTATTATTACATGAATAAATAAATCTAGTGTATCTTTATTAGCCATTGAAATTAATATATAACAATCATCCATAAGAATTGATATACATATATATATCTCATCATATCTCTAATTAATTAAACTTATTAAATTTTAAAATACTATTCAATATAAATAAATATAAATATCTAATATATATTGGATATATACATCGTTAGATTAATTTGTTTAAACAACACGTAATGGTGTAATGGGCAAACAAATAAGAGTTTAGAGTTTTTCCAACACTGTTTAGCCTGGTCTTTTACTAATTTTGGTGGTGTAATGGGCAAACAAAATAAGAGTTTACAGTTTTTCAAACACTGTTTAGTCTGAATCTTTTACTAATTTTGGTGTGTGATTTGGGAGAAGATTTGGTATATTTTCAAATACAAATTGTTTGGGCTTTCATTCAAAATTAGGTAATTAAAATTGGAAAAAATAAATAAATAAAAAAGTTGAAAAAATAAAACTTCAATTTTTATTATTAATGACATATACAAACTCAACTCAACCCTTAAAATTAATTACCCCTAAATACGATCCCTTACAACTAGGAATATGATATGCGAATATTTATTGCAAAATCGACATTTTCAAAAATTGGTTAGGAAAATTGTGAGTGAGGAAAGTTGTTATTCAAACTTTAGCCATTATCTAGTTCATCAAATTGAATATATTGTAAAATATTATTAAATATAAATAAACTATATATTTAACTATATATTGGATATATAAATTAATACATCAATTAATTTAAATGATATATTTAGTTAAATATAATCCATATGTGTTTCAATTTGCAAAAAAGGATTAAACTGTTATTCAAATGCAATGTTCAATAAAGGTTGCTCGGCGGTCGCCGGGTAGACTGGGGCGCGTTGGTCAGGTTGTGTACGAGCATTTTTTATAACTGATCTCGTTTGAATGAGAATCATGTCAACAATTATACGTTCTGATATTTTACATTGAATGATATAGTTCATCGCAGATGAGCATATGATCACATTATTGGTTAGTAGGAAAACATAAATTTTGGTTCACAACCTAAACAGAATTAAAATTAAACAACCCATGACGAATTGTACAGTCTATCTTGATTGTGTGGAATTGAACAACTCATCAGTTCTAGTGTTAATTGTACAATCCATCTTGACTCTGATTGATTGCACTAGTTGTCATAATATAAATTCAGACGTCAATTCTTGCAAGGGGTTGTACCCAGTGGTAAGCTTAAGTCTTAGGGCATGATTGTTTATACATTCAACAGTAAATATCTCACTCAAACTCAAATTTAACCCAACTTTAACCCAACTCAACTATCTCCAATATTCAATATAATTAAATAATATCAATCAATCATTATTACACATCACATCAACTTTAATTCACTATTCATCCACTCACATAATTTTAACTAACCATCACATCCAATCATTTTTTCCTATTTTTACATCAAATCAACTTTAATTATTTTAATTTAAATATTATTTTAATATATCCACTAACAACTAACCATATTACTTTTTTTCAAACTTAACTATAGTTAAAAAAAAAACTAGTTTCTTACTAGTTGAATTCATATTCAATCACGCCCTTAGTTTTTGTATGGATTGTTAGTGTAACTACATGTGCTGGTGTGTTTGGATATAAAACAAGTTGAGTTTTGATTGATTTTTTTTTTCTTGTTTATTTTTCTTTTAAGCATAGTAATTTTGAAAATTTTAATTGAATTAAGTTTGAGTGAGATTTTGAATTTGTATTAAAATAATATTTAAAACAAAATAATTAAAATTGGATACATGACTGAAATCGATGGCTAATTAAAATTATATGAGTGAATTAATAGTGAATTAAAATTTATGTGATGTATAAAAATAATTGATATTATTTAATTATATTTATAATATTGAAAAGAATTGAGTTGAATTAAATTTTAATTATGATTGTCCAATCAAGATTGATGTCCAAGCACCAAAACAATCCTTGTTTTGCATTGTTTGTGTAGTTATGTTTGGCCTAAGACCACCTTGATGTGGATATCCCCCGTCTCCGTAAGGTGATGTAGTATGGTTAGTTAGCCTTCAAAGGTATCTTCTTGAGTTGATGAAATCTATCATCGCGAAAAAAATAACAACGAAGAAAATACGTTTAGGGACTGGACAGACTACCCTGCGTAACACAAATGGCGGGACAGGTAAATCATTAACCGAAATTCAAATAAAAGAAAAAGGAAAAAAAAAATTCATCTGAGGCAACACAGTTTTCAAACCAAGGCGCAAATCAAAAGTGAGAAATTAAGTACACGAAATAAACGTCGCAGAGTCGTGTTTGGCCACCATCCGACCTTATATGTTCTTAATAATAATACAAGTTCATCTCATCTTGCCGCCTAGAGCTGCAAAAAATATACCCTCGCCTAATAAAGAATGTTACAAAGAAAATATATATCTTATGTACCCACACACTACGACGGGCAGAATACCGGGTCGAAATTATTTCGTAACATAACATCAGGAAAGAAAATCCACTCCACCTTCCAAAGCCTAAACTTTAAAAACACAAATACCAGAAAAAAAATACATTTAACAAAAATGAAAAAAAAAAAAAGTGAAGCCCGAACAAACAATTGTGTTTTCCTCTCTCCACTACGAGGCACGAACTACCTTCCGAGGGTCTCCACCGGATAAGTACACATTAGTAGTGGCCCATTGGTGGCATTCCAAAAGGTGGAGGCATAGGTGGCATACCCATGCCCATTGGGCCCATGGGTGGTGGTGGCCCGGAAAAGCCTCCACCTATGCCGGAGCCTCCCATGCCAGGCGGGGCGGGTAAAGCAAGAGGCAATAGCTGCGCATACATATTCTGCAGAAAAATATGACACAGCAAATCAGCTATATATT